GGGGAGCCGGTGCCTTTCCCACCTTTTATTGCAACAGCAACCGCAGAAGTGACAAAAAACAGCAGAAGTGACAAAAAAAACAGTGGGAGCCGGTGCAGGGAGCAGAGCTGTCTGATCCTCCCCGTCCTCGTGGGGCTGGGGAATCTGGCCTAGTTACTCAGCCTCGATGGGGATGGGGTTCACCTGCCCCCCCACCTCTGCCAGCTGTTTCTTGCGGGCATCGGCGGGGTGCTGGGTGCGGGGTGTTGATCGGCAGCTGCCAGTCCCCCAAAAGACACCCCCAACTCTCCTTTAGATGGTTATGGTTGGCCCCTTTGGAGTCATCTGCTGGCAACACAACACAGAAGAGAGGAAACAGTCTTGGAGGTTCCTGGGGTGTGTGGAAGATCACTTCCTGGTGCAGCTGGTGAGTGAGCCTACCAGGGGAGCTGCCTCCCTATACCTGCTGTTTGCTGACAGAGTAGGACTGGTGGGAGATGTGGTGGTTGGAGGCCACCTTGGTGGTTGGAGGCCATCTTGGGCTAAGAGACCATGAAATGATAGAGTTCTCAGTTCGAGGTGAAGTTAAGAGGGGGGGCCAGCAAAACCACCACCATGGACTTTCGGAGGGCAGACTTTGGCCTGTTTGGGACACTGGTTGAGAGGATCCCCTGGGACAGAGTCCTGAAGGGCAAAGGGGTCCAGGCAGGCTGGACATTCTTCAAGAGGGAAGTCTTAATGGCACAGGAGCAGGCTGTCCCCGTGTGCTGCAAGGCGAACTGGCAGGGAAGATGACCGGCCTGACTGAACAGTGAGCTCTTGCTGGGACTCAGGAAAAAGAGGAGGCTCCACCACCTATGGAAGAAAGGGCAGGCTACTCAAGGGCAGTACAGGGGTCTTATTGGGTCATGCAGAGAGGAAATTAGAAAGGCAAAAGCCCGGCTAGAGCTCAGGTTGGCCACTTTTGTAAGGGACAACAAAAATACAAATATGTCAACAACAAAAAGAGGGCCAGGGAGAATCTCCATTCCTTATTGGCTGTGAGGGGCAATACTGCCAACAAGGATGAGGAAAAGGCTGAGGTCCTTAATGCCTTCTTCACCCTTAGTGCACGGCTGGGAAGAAATGACATCAAAGATTTCCTCAGCATGTACTGGTAGAGGAAGAAGGAGGGAGGAAGAAGAATAGAATAGAATAGAATAGAATAGAATAGAATAGAATAGAATAGAATAGAATAGAATAGAATAGAATAGAATAGAATAGAATAGAAGTAGAACAGAATAGAAGTAGAACAGAAGTTGGAAGGGACCTCCTCCAACCATCATGTCCAGCTGGGCTGGAGCACTCCTTGTTGGAGAACAACTAGTTTTACTGTTAAAGAGTGAGGCAAATACGGCATTAAGTATCTCAGCCTCTTCCTCATCCTTTGTCACTGTTTCTCCCTACACCCAATAACGGATGGAGATTCTCATTCTCCTTAGCTCTCCTTTTGTTGTTAATATATTTACAGAAATGTTTTTCATTAACTTTTACAGCACTAGTCAGATTAAGTTCTAGATGGGCTTTGGCCCTTCTAATTTTCTCCCTGCATAACCTCACAACATCCTTGTAGTCCTTCTGAGTTGCCTGCCCTTTCTTCCATACCTCATAAACTCTCTTTTTTTTCTTGAGTTTTAGCCAAAGCGCTCTCTTCAGCCAGGCCCATCCTCCTCCCCACCAACTCGTCTCCCAGCACATAGTGATGGCCTGCTCCTGCACCTATAATATTTCCTTCTTGAAGAACGTCGAGCCTTCATGGACTCCTCTGCCCATCTTGCAGTGTTAAACCTCAGAGCAACATACAAACAGGAAGTCTACGGCATCACTGTGCAAAACTGTTAAAAAGCAATTATAGCAGCACTGTTGAAATGACAGCAAAGGTCACAAGAATTCATTTGCTGAGCATGAATAGAAGCTGTGAGTCCCACACACACACTCCATGCTCAGATTAGGGCTCTAATCTGGGATCTCACCTGTGCTACGTGAGATGGCAAACTCGCACTAGCGATGCAACTCTTCTGAGTAAATTCTCACTCCCAAACAGAAGTTGAAACATCTATCCTGAGAAGTCATCAACTGTCTCAAAAATAGAGATCTATTCATAATAAATAAATCTTTCAGGAACAGGAAAAGACAACAGGTTATCTGTAATTAAATACATGTTGTGGCAAGATAAACACTAAATAGCACCAGCTAGGTCAGACCCTTTGCCAGTCCACCTCTGGCAGCCGTTCAGCAGCAATCACATCATCTCTGGAGATGCACGAGCTGACCAGATGAGTGCTAACTGGAGGAAGAAAGCTTCCTTCTCTTTGCTGCATTAGCCAATAACATACTTCTCTCCCCTGTTTGGGCAGCTGTAAAGGGCATGAGGAACACAGAAATATCATCGTTTGTGTAGTATGGAAAATTTGCCTATAACACGTTACTCTCATATCAAAGAGTTTGTGGGATTCATGTTCAAAGAATTCAAAATTCTGGTGAGTTAAAGGTAAACTCAGTTAACAAAAGACTGAGTAATTTAGCTAAAAACCTGGTAAGTGAAAAACATGAGCTATTAATAATTTGCAGGGCATAAATCTTAAAGTCAGAAAGGAATTATTTGTATGATACAGAAGAATGACAACTGTGAAGATGCATCAATATCTCCTTGAAATGATGCCACAAGCTGATGTCTCTTAACCTTGCAAAGACCCATACACCTGAGAGGTTCATTTTCTGCATTTTAAGGATGGGCAGAAATGGGTATTTTTCAGATCAGTGACAGTGAAATGAAATTAAATCTAGCAAAACTGCTCTCTAGGATTAATGACAGCGGGTGTTCTTTTAACAAAAATGTACCAACAATGTTAAAGTATTGTAATGTCCAAGCTGCCATTGTCACTTGGCATTATAAAAGTGGAATAACTGTCCCAATACCCCATCTACTTGTGGATCTCTCTCAAAATAGGATCACATTTCTAAATGAATATGAAAATCTAAAATGTCTAAATGGTGTATTTAGTATAAATTGATAAAAACTTTTACATGTACTCTCAGTTTTATTTTTTTCATGGTTCACAGCATTAGTTTGAAAGACAAATCATAAAAGGCCAGAAAGAGTACAATTCTGAATGCAAAACAAACCAGGTCCAAGAAGCTGGCATTCCAAAGCACAGGCAAAAGGCAGACCTAATTTCTGAGATGTACTGAGCCCAGTTCTTGAATTATTCTTTTTCAGATAAAATAATGGTCAAGGAAGTCAGAAGTGAGGACAGAAAAGCAGAACAGCAATAGGGAAGGAAATAAAATGGGATTGAAAAGCAGGTTATTATTTACCCTCCAGAAGCTAAGAGATGTTACAGGGAGACCCTAGCCAAACCACCCAGCAAGAACCTCCCCTTTCTAATGATCCCTTAAAGGTTGCATTATTTTTACTTTTTAGCTGACTCAGTCATGCAACTAGAGCATGCAGCTTTCATATGGCTGCTACACAACTCCTAGACAGTATCTCTTTTTCTGTTTATTTTTAAATCTTGTGACATTAAAACAAATACTAAGATTTAAGGGGAAAAGCCCCCTGTGACTGAGTCAGTGACTTCTGAAGTG